TTTCTAAGGATCCAGCTAAGAAACATCATTTTTAGATTTATATTCAATCTAGCTTTTATCACTATAAACAAAATTTTATGGTTATATACCTGTAATTTATGGATGTATTAATGATACAAGTCTTATTAATGATATGAGTCTTATTTGGGAAGAAAAAAAAAGGACCATGTCCAACATCCATTTTGGAAAAGTTAACAAAAAAGAACCAGGTAACCTGTGTCTGGCATATATATACCAGCATTCAGTAAATTGCTGATGAAAGATCCAATGACATCACAATCAGAGATTTCCCCAACTCCTATACAGTCACTGCTGCTATTTTTCTACAGTGAGCTGGGGATGTACCTCAGTGATACATCATGTGCCTATCTTGCTCAAGGTCCTGGGTTCAATCCCCAGCATGGCAGAATATTTTCTCAAACTATGTTTTCTTCTATTCAATTTTAGTACCTATTCCCTTTCAAGGAAGAAGCACAGTTTGTGTTTTCAAACTTGAAGGGCCTAGAGGATACAGTTTGTCCAGTGCTTTTCTTTATGTGTACTAGGGATTCAACACAGGGCCTCAAATGTGCTAGGCAAGTGCTTTACCAATGAGCTACATCCCTTGCCCTCTGATTATAACAAAATTAACCTGGCACAATGCACCTTCCACTCTGGCACAAATAACATGGTGGGAGGTCAGAAACACTTTGCTGGAACAAAGGGTGCCACTGGCCTGGTCAGATTCCCTAAAATGAGTCCTGCATGGACACAGTCCACATTTTTCTTTCTGAGAATGCTATATCTATCTGTACTTCTTTATATGGAATCTTGCTCTTGGTAGTTTCTGGCCCAGGAACAAACCACTGAAGCTTCTAGAAGACAGTTTGAAAAGAAATGCTGCAAGGCTGAGAAGCTAAGAGAGTTGACCCTATGGACACCAAAAGTACAAATGCTCTTTTCATGAGTAACTATAAACAGAATGTTTAAATAAATAAGTTCTAAGCTATATAAAACAAACCAAGTATAATTTGCCAAGACTTAGAATAAACCTGATGTAAAATTTGAGATGTTATCAAAATTATTATTTTGTTGTTGTCATTTTTGATACTAAGAATTTAATCCAGGGGCACTTTACCATTGAGCTACATCCCCAGCCCTTTTAATTTATTTCTTTTTTTAATATTATTTTTTAGTTGTAGAAGACGCAATACCTTTATTTTATTTATTTTATGTGGTGCTGAGGATCGAACCCAGGGCCTTGCATGTGCTAGGCAAGTGCTCTACTTTTGAGCCACAACCCCAGCCCTGGACACAATATCTTTATTTTACATTTATGTGGTGGTAAGGATTGAACCCAGTGCCTTGTGCATGCTAGGCGAGCACTCTACCACTGAGCCACAACGTAGCCCCTGACCTTTTTTGAGACAGGGCCTCACTAAATTGCTTAGGTTGGCCTCCAACTAGCAATCCTCCTGCCTCAGCCTCCCAAATTGCTGAGGCTGGCCTATAACTTATGATCTTCCTGCCAGAGCCTCCCAAGTTGCTGGGATAACAGGTGTACACCACCACAGCCCATTTTTTTTTTTTTTAAACATGAAACAGAAAAGCACCACAATTTCTAATATCAAGGCCCAACCATAGCTATAACAATCACAATCTAATCTGGGCCAAACATTTACTTCTACCTATATTTCCTCTTCAGTTCTCATTGGAGGTAAATGCCTCAGTATTTATTGATGATGTTGGGGATTTTATTCATTCATTCATGGTGCTGGGAATTTAATCCAGGGGTACTCTACCACTGGGTTACAATTCTCTTAATTTTTTGAGACAGGGTCTTTCCCAGGGTGGCCTTGAACTTGTGATTTTGCTGCCTATTTACTTACACATTTTAGAGTAAATAGACAATTAAGATAATGTGTGCTTTTAGCAGGGCTCGGTGGTGCACACCTCCCAGCAGCTCGGGAGGTTGAGACAGGAGGATGATGAGTTCAAAGCCAGCCTCAGCAATGGTGAGGTGCTAAGCAACTCAGTGAGACCCTGTCTTAAATAAAATACAAAAGAGGGGAAGTGGCTCAGTAGTTGAATGCCCCTGAGTTCAATCCCCAGTCCCCCACCACCACCCAAAAAATTAATGTGTGCACTTAAATCATTAAAATTTAGCTGCCTTAGTGATACTACAACTTCCAAAGAGATCTAAAAGGTAGCAAAAGGTGAAATTATGATTGTAGCACAGCTTCATCAGGTTTTTTATGAAAATGCTCCAAAAACTCATGGTTATGGGGCAGAAGATCCGTGGTTGACACAATCTTAGAAGTAATGTAATCTGGTTTTTCAGTATTATATTCACTCAAAAAAAAAAAAAAAAAAGTACTTCATGCCTCTTTTAGAGTATTTTTTTTTCCTTCTATGCTGTGGACTGAACCCAGGGCCTTGTACATGCTAGGCAAGTGCCATACCACTGAAGCCACATTCCCCAGCCCTGGTCATTTTTAGTTGTAGTCAAATAACGAGACTGTAAGTAGTTCTTTTCTCACAGGCAAACCAAACAATGAAGCATTAGAACACTTCCAATAGATAGCTTCAAACCTCTACTTTGCTGCATTTTTTTGGAACAGCATGGGCTTTCCATCATGAACTCTGAAAATGTTGCTGACCCCTTGTGTTCAAGGCCCTGGCTGCAATGGTCTTTCCACTTTGCTGTGTGAGAAGGGAGGAAAACTTCAGAAGGCCACATTCTAGGGGGTTATCTATAAGAGACATATTTTTAACTTGCTTTTTGTGACTTGGTGAAATATTAAATACTAGTTTCTCCATTTTCTAAAATCTTTTTACTTCCAGGGCCAGACAGAATGGAAAATTACATCTTGCAGCTTGTTCAATGGGGTCTGTGGGAATGCTGACAGAAAAAACATGGACAGAAAAGTAGTTGAAAGGTTCTAGGCGAAATAGTCTGGATTTATTTGTTCTGTAATTAATTCAAGTTATCCATCCTTCACTGTAGTGAGATGCCATTCAATGGTATAGCTGCAGTCTTTTCTCTTGCTAAAGATGACCTTTCTTTGGCTGAATGTCTTCAACAGAAGGTCTAACAATCCATTTGTCCCAACTCCAACTCTTTCCTGGGAACAACTCCTTCATCCCTCAGTTTCTTCCTGAAAAACCATCCACCTAGAATACCTATTCACCACTCAAGAGGATAAAATAAAACACTCATTTGGTTGGTGGCTTGCTCATTGGAACTTATTTCTGCTTCAGCTGTAGTTCTTTGAGAAATACAGGAATTTTTGCCAAAATATTAGCCCAACCAAAGAATGTTGAAAAATTAGCTGCCTTAGTGATACTACAACTTCCAAAGAGATCTAAAAAGTAGCAAAATGTGAATAGGAAACATAGTTTACAAGTCATTTAATAATTGTAAATACAGATTTCAACTTAATATTTGATATTCTGAATATCAAAATTGTGAAACAAAATCTGTCATATGGCTCTTGGAAGAGCTTTTATTTTTTTTTAATTTTTATATTTTTGGTGCTGGGGATCAAACCCAGGGCCTTGTACATGCAAGGCAAGCACTCTACCAACTGAGCTATATCCCCAGCCCCTCTTGGAAGAGCTTTTAAATGGTAGATTAACTCCAGAACTTTTTTTTTTTCTTATTAAGAGAGGGGAATGCACAGTAATCCTATGAGGTAGATCTTATCCCATTGAACAGAAAAGAAAGTGAGACTCAAAAAATGAAGTAACCAACAGAAGGTTATACAGCCATGATTGTGTCAGTGTCTTGCTGGCATTGAAAACCTGGCCTCCTGTAAAGGAAGATGATTTTAAATTGAATTCACTAATGTGATTAATGACAAACTATTTCACTGATGTTGGTAATAAAGGTTTAAGGGGAACTAAGATTAAGGACCCCAGGTTCACGTGAGTTTCTTTCAAATGCAAAATATTCCTTATTTTCCTAGTTTATTAGGGGGAAGGTACAGGGAAGAATCTTGCTACCACTTAAAAAACAATCAAACATAGTAATTCCATTCCTAGGTCTATACCCAAAGGAACTGAAAACAGGTATTCAAACAAATAACTGTACACAGATGTTCACAGCAGCACTATTCACAACAGCTAAAAAAGTGAAAACAACCCAACCCAAGTATTCATAGATACATAAATAAACAAAATGTGGTACTCAGCCACAAAAAGAAATAAAATACATGCTCCATGTGGATTAACCTTGAAAATACACTAAGTAAAAGAAGCCAGACACACCAAAAGGTCACTTATATGATTCTATTTACATGGAATACGCAGTTTGAGATAAAACCCTAGAGCAGAGAGCAGGCTAATGGTTGCTGCAGGGCCGGGAGGAGATGGGATGGAGGATATCTGCTTGCTAGGTTGAAGGTCTCCTTTGGGGGTGATAAAAACGCTTCCGAACTAGAGAATGGTGGTGGCCGTACAAGACTGCAAACATGCCAATTGCCACTGAACTGGACATTATCAAATGATGGAGTTGTGGCACATGCCTGTAATCCCAGCAACTCAGGAGGCTGAGGCAGGAGAATCACAAGTTCAAAGACAGCTTCAGCAACTTGGTGAGGCAAGCAATTTAGCAAGACCCTGTCATCTCAAAATAAAAAAATAAAAAGAGCTCGGGATATTACTCAGTGATAAGTGCTCCTGGGTTCAATCCTTAGTACAAAAAAAAAAAAAAAAAAGGTGACTTTTATGTTATACAAATTTCACCTCCATTTAAAAAGCACAGAAAAAAGAAATGATAATCAAAAAGTTCTAGATGAATAGCCAGAAATTTTTCTTAATTTGTCACAATTTCATTGAATTTTTGATGGTCATAAACTAGTATATATATAAAAAAATAACACATTAGCCAGGCATGGTGATACATGCCTGTAGTTCCAGCTACTCAGGAGGCTGATGCAGGATCACTGAAGCACAGGAGTTCAAGATTACAGAGACCCTGTCTCAAAAAAACAAAAATCATTAAAAGTTCCAAATAAGGCATCAATGTAGCTGAGGTCCTTTAATATGTTCAGTTGGCAAAGCACCTAGTAGAGTTTACAGTATACAAGAAGTGTTAAAAATGCTTTTAATTTGTATAAAGTGCAAAGAAACACTACTGAGAAACATGAAAACATATAAAATGGCCAAAGCTAACGTACATGCACAGGGACACAGCTATATATTTGCTACTGCCTAGACTCAGACACCCAGGAGAGAAGCTTGCTTTTCCTCCTAACTTATTTTGTGTCTCTCCAAAAACTGAAGAGTTGATAGTGGCTTACTGTTGCCACCCTCTGAGTTTGGCAAGAGGTTATACACAGGGAGGGTTTATAGCTGCCATTTCCTATTGCTTCCCTAGTGACACAGCACGGGAGGTTAAGTTACTTCAGGAGCCTCTCAACAGGGCTCCCATTGTTCTGAGTTTGAAATTCAGGGATACAATGGGCCCCATTCATGCTGAGCTGAGCTCTCAGGCTGGGGAACTGCAAGGCTGGGGATCTGGATCCTTAATGCCCAGCTAACTTTGGGTTGGGACATAGAGTTTTCATAGACACTGACTTGCATCAACCCAAGTCAATTATTTTTTAATTAAAAAACAGTACAGAATAAAGAAATAAAACTCATGGGTGATAAACTGGGAGTCAGGACACTTAAGTCTTATCCCCAGTCTCTAATGTGACTTTCAACAAATCACTTGGCTCTTACTGTTTCAAATTCCTAGTTTCTAAAATGAAAATGGATTTCTAAGATCACTTAGACTCTGAATTCTATGAATATATATGAAGTCTAGTGATGTTGCAATGTTCATTCTAAAGATAAGTTATGAACAGAAAAGAATCATTAGCTCATATCTTCCCACTCACTATAAGCACTTAAAAATAAGGACCCTTAAAAAAAAATAAGAAGTTCATTTTCTGTTCTGTCTTAAACAGACAAATCATAATGAATAAAGTTCAGTGGGTCCCAATGTCCCAACAAGTCCAGGGTCACTCAAGCAGGAAGCCCTATACAAAGTAGAATGATGAAGAGTATAAACAGAAGCCATAGTATGTTTCCATGTCACCAGTTCTTGGGATATTAATGCATTTTGAGACTCTCTTTTTTTGCAATGACTCAAAATCCTCAGAAGAAAAAACACTATTTACAGTAAGAGTGTGATCAATACCAGAAGCTTCCACACTGTCATTTTTTTGCTTTTTCAACCTCAAAACTTGCTAGGGCAAGAACTTTGTCTCCAGAGCCTAAAGACAAAGACACATAATAAAAAAGATTATTTCAAATGCATTTACAATTTCAGATAAAGAGCAAAAAATTATCACACAGATATTGAAAGAAAAAAATAGAATTAGCTTTCATTATCAATTCATTAACCCCTATACTGCCATTCCTATTTCCTTCTCTGCATAAACAATCCAGCCACAAAGAATGGATTGTTGGCTATAAACCCTTATAAGCTTCTAGATATGAAACAGAATATGTAACATTTTAGCATACTTTTAGTTACATCTAGCTCATGATTATTTTAAAATGTTAGACTACAAAGCTGTATGTAAGGGTGCACACCTATAGAGCGCTCAGGAGGCTGAGACAGGAGGATTGCTTGAACCCAAGAATTTAAGACCAGCCTGGGTAACACAGCAAGACCTAATCTCCAAAAAACAAAACTAAACTAAGCAAAAAAATCTTATTTTTAAAAATTAGAGTTTATTTCCCAGTAAAACACTGGGAAATAAAACCAATACAAAGGATTTGTAAAGAAGACAACTCTGGTGTCACTCTAAACTCAAGAAAAGGTCATGTTGTCTCAACTCTGCTCTCTGTCAGTCTGGAATAGTATATGTGTCCAGTTTTCAGGAATATGAGAACAAGGGCCTGGGGGTGTAGCTCAGGGGTAGAGTGTATGCTTAGCATGCAAGAGGACGTGGGTTCAGTCCCTGAGAAAGGAAGGGAAACAAGAGCACTCACCAAGGTCAGTGGAGACTTTCTCAAACTGGCTGAGTATGGCCCCTGCATTTGCTGATAAGAAGGCCTCATCATCTGTAGTCAGCTAAACAAAATGAAACAAAGCCCAGTGGAGTAGGTGTAAATGTTACGAGCAGGTTCTAAGAACCACAGTTAAGAATGTCTTAGGTCCACAAACTAGATCGCAAGCCAAGAATTTCTGTAACAAATACTTAACCTTTCTCTTTATACCTAATAAATAAAATTAAATACTGGTACCTTCTCTCCAAGTTTTCTGAGAGCTGTTAGTATCTCTACTTTCTGTTGAGTGTACAGGTCTCTCTCCAGCTTTCCTACCATCAGATCTCTATCCATCTATAATGAGTGAATGAAAGGCAAATAAGTGAAAAACATTCTGCGCACAAAATCTAGCTTTTCAGGTGTACTTCTTAAAAAAAAAAAACACAACTCTTTAGTTCATTAATATTATAAAGAACTATAGAAACAATCCAAGGCAAACATGATGAAATGCTTTTATGGAGTTTTAATAAGCTTTAATAGTAATCATAACTACTGTCTTAGTTATCAACCCTATTGAAGGTTAGCAGTAAGTCAACAGCTTCCTTTGGAGAAGAGCTATCCTTTAAGAAATTCCTTATGTTACATATAACCTCACTACCAAATACACTAATAGCATGTACCACATATACACTGGTACTTTTCTAAGTGCTTTTATTTTTTTACTTTTTTTACTTAAATTTTATTTTTATAGTGCTGAGGATAAATCTGTATTTTGATCTGGATCATGGCTCTGTGGTAGAGTGCTTGCCTAGCATGTATGAGACACTGGGTTCAATTCTTAGTACAAATTTTTCAATTCTTAAATAAATTTTTAATTTGTTTTAGTTGTCGATGGACCTTTATTTTATTCATATGTAATACCAAGAGTTCTACTATTGAACTACTTGCCTGACGCCCCCTTTTTTTCTTTTTCTTTTTTTTTTTTTTTTTTATATAATGTCTCACTAAATTGCCCAGGCTGGCCTCAAACTTGAGATCCTCCTGCCTCAGCCTCCCCAGTAGCATGGGTTTATAGCATGTATCACACCACTGGCTGTTCCCAGTCCTATTTTTGAAAAATTTATTTATGTATTTATTTAGGTACTAGGGATAGAATTCAAGGACTTACACATGCTAGGCAAGCACTCTACCACTGAGCTACACTCCCAATCCTTATGTTTTTGGGTTTTTTTTGAAACAGGATCTCTTATGTTGTCCAGGCTGTCCACAAATTCCTGAGCTCAAGTGACCCTCTTGCTTCAGCCTCCTAAATAGCATGGATTATAGATATATGCCATTGTATCAGGATTCTAAATGCTGTCACATATAGTATTTCATTAAATCCATAACAACCACAAGAGGTAGGCACTATCTTCACTTTTTTACAGACAGGGAAACTAAGGCACTAAATGAAATAATCTGGCATAGGTCACATACCCTAGTATGTGAGGCAGGGATTTAAATTCAGCCAAACTGATCCAAATCCTGTTTTATCACTGCTAAAGAATTACCCATATTTGCAAATAATTTGTTAGCCCTTTATATCCAAGTCCATAAACAGACATCTGGATGTTATCAGGTTTTCAAAGATGCCTGAAATTCTTAGATAGCACAGCACTGAATGTGCATGGAAGCAATGCTGTTAATGAATTCTCAGTGGGATTTCAAGTTAGAAAACCAGAAGCAAACGGTAAAACATTAAAGGAGGAGTAAGAAGTCAGAGGAATTTAAACTGCTATAAACTTGAGAAATCTGCATTATCAACCATAATTGCTCAAGGTACTAATTTTGTCAAAAAATTGTCAATGATGGCTCTAAAATCAACTGTAGACTATTACAATGAGCAAATTCTCAGACTAGGAAGAAAAGTAGTGATGGATCAATTTAAAGAAACTTTACCTCTGCTAATCTTGTCCGAAGCTGACCTGGTTGTTTCTTTGCAAACAATCTGATGACCTCTGGAGTTTTAAAGGCCTGGCTGATAGCTGCCTGAATAGCCTAAAAACACAGGAAGGCAAAAACCAAGGAAAATATTACAATGAATCAGATTTGCAATAATTGAGTGATGGCATTTTTTTTGTATACTGGGGCTTGAACCCAAGGGCACTTAACCACTGAGCCACATTCCTCACTCATTTTTTAATTTTGAGACAGAGTCTTGCTAAGTTACTTAGGCCTGCCTAAATTGCTGAGGCTGGCCTTGAACTTAGGCTCCTCCTGCCTCAGCCTCCTAACCAACTAAGCATGCAGGAGTGAGCCACCATGCCCAGCCTAACTGATAGATTTTTTATTAATAGGTCTTTGTTCATCAAACACTATTACAAAATCAGTTTTCATTTGCTATTTCTATGCATGTCAGTGGCGCCAGATACATAGCTAAGTGAAGATCTGAAAGGATATGCTGTTTTATGCATTAAGTAGAAAATCATGGAGAAGTTACACCCAAAAAAGTATACATTTTCTATCTGAAATATATTTATTTACCAGGAAAAAACAAACAAGCGTAAGTTATGCTCACCAGCTGCATTCCACTCAGTTCATCTACCAGAGTCATATTTCCAGACATGATCTTCTTCAGTGAATCATTGAATTCACTTAGTTGCTCCAGAGTTTCCTTTTTGGTTTCTTCATATTCATCTGTATCAAGTTCTTCTCTGAAGTACAGTGAAAATCATAATGCAGAAAAATAACAAAGTTCCAAGTGAAAAAAGCAATCTTAGTACTTGTATACTAGAGGAAAGCTGAAGGGAAATATCAAAAAGCTAACGATTGGGGCTGGGGTTGTGGCTCGGTGGTAGAGCGCTCACCTAGTGTGTACGGAGCAGTGGGTTTGATCCTCAGCACCACATAAAAATAAAATAAAGGTATTGTGTCCAACTACAACTAAAAAAACAAAAAAATTTAAAAAACACTGATGATTACTGATATGAATGTGTCTAGACAGCTGTAAGGGTAATTTCTTACAATCTGATTATTTTGATAATGATTTTTTTTTTCTTTTTCTTTTTGGTGTTGGAGTTAGAACCCAGGGCCAACAGCATGCATTCTACCACTGAGCTACACCCCCAACCCCTAAACATTTTTCATTTACCAAAATAGGACACACTTAACAAACTACACACCATCTTCCCTGTAGGCAGTCAATGGTATCACTTGAACAAAGTCAAGCCTTAGTTTATCTATAATGCTTTGGGTAATTATAGTACCTACCTAATAAGGTTGCTATGAGGTATTAAATGAGATAAGCAAAGTTCTGGCATATATAGTAACAGGTACCAGATAGTTTTGTTTTGTGGTACTGGAAATTAAACCAGGGGGTGCTCTACCACTCAACTATAGCCCCAGCCCCAGTCTCAGCCTTGCCACTTTTAAAAAATTTTCATGCAGGGTCTCACTACGTTGCTGACATTGACCTCAAATTTGTGATCCACCTACCTCAGCCTGTGGGGTTACTGGGATTACAGGCGTGTGCCTCGGCACCTACCAAATAGCTGTTGCTATCATCATTAATGGTAGTAAACATTTTGTGTATACTACACAATAATAGCAATGCAGTACTTGTCATCTTAGTAAGAAATTATTTTAATTCACCAAGAAAGTCATTTATTATGTTTTTTTAAACAAGCAAAGTACAGATTTATTTTATTTTTAATTTGTTTTAGTTGTCGATGGACCTTTATTTTATTTTTATATGTAGTACTAAGATTTGAACCCAGTGTCTCACACATGCTAGGCAAGCACTCTACCATGGAGCCATGACCCAAATCAAAGTACAGATTTATTGAAGGTGAAGGTGAGAGTAGAGTGGAGTGGGTCAAGTGAGAAAGAGACCTGAGGCCCCAGTGTCCGGAAATCAGTGTCATGTGCTGAGCTGTGATGCCTTCTCTTTCCTATATGGCTTATTAAATGTTTACTACAAGTAATAACAGCTCCTACTTATTGAACTTCCACATATTGAGCACCTACTCTGGGCTGAGCATTGTGTGGCCCCCCTTCATTTGTAATACCAACAACAACCTTGTAAGGCTGTCAAGAACTTTCTGGTTTTTTAGGGGGCTGGGGTTGTGGCTCAGAGGTAGAGCACTCTCCTAGAATGGGTGAGGCCCAGATTCATATTTAGCATCTCATAAAAATAAATAAAATAAAGGTATTGTGTCCAACTACAACTAAAACATAAATATTAAAAAAAAAAAAAAAAAAAAAAAAAAACAAGCTTTCTGTTTTTTATTGGTTTGCTTTTGGTACTGGGGACTGAATTCAGGGTCTTGAGAATGCTAAGCACCCACCCTACCACAGAGATATGCCCCCAGCCTAGACTTGGTCCTTTGAGCAGTTAAGGCTGAAACCACCCACCAGGCAGGTCTATTTTAAATACTAAAGACAAGGTAAGTGTTACTATTTCCACTTCAAGGAGGTTAAATATTTTGCCCAAGTTCACGTGCACTTAGTAATTACTTGAAAGACACCCACATCCTAGGCTTTATGACTCCAAGGCCTGCACTAAGTTTACTGCTACAACAAAGCACTGTGAAAAACACTACCGGGGAAACCAAAATCACACATGGGCCTGCATCCATGGAGCTTGTAATCTAACTGCAGAGAAAGGTCATTTTATAACATAACAACATACAATTATACTATTACCTGCATTCTTCCAGATCTTGTAATTGCTGCATTAGTCTATCCAACTGCTCTTCTAAATTCTGCTTTAATTTGCTTGTCTCCATCTTTCCTCTGGAAGCCATTTTATTCTCTACGTAGAAGAGTAAATCCACATCACAGTATATTTGGTTATTCGAAGAGATTCAACATACCAGTGCCATTTGTTTATTTATTTATCATACTTGGGATTGAACCCAGGGTTGCTTTCCCATTAAGCTATACCCTCCAGCCCTTTTTACTTTCTTATTTTAAGACAGGGTCTTATTAAGTTGCCCAGGCTGGCCTTAAACTAGTGATCCTCCTGTTTCAGCCTACAGTAGCTGGGATTACAGTCGTGCAGCAGAGCAGTTGTGATTTAAAATTAATTAATGCTACCTGAGGGATGGGGCTGTAGTGCAGTGAGAGTGCCTGCTTCAGCATATGTGATGCCCTGGGTTTGATCCCCAGCATCCCCACCCACCTCTGAATCCTATTGAAAGTTCAACAAATTACATTAAAATAAAAGATGAATATGGAAAAAAACTGCATTCTTTTTTTGGGGGGTGGTGCTACTGGGGATTGAACTCAGAGGCACTCAACCATTGAGCCATATTCCTAGACCTATTTTATATTTTATTTAGAGATATGGTCTCACTGAGTTGCTTAGCACCTCACTGTTGCTGAGGCTGGCTTTGAATTTCTTGATCCTCTTGCACCTGGCAAAACCTGCACTCTTGAAATTTGTGGTTTCCTGAATTTTTTGTTTGTTCTTTTCTTTTTTTGTTGCTGGAGACTGAACTTGGCACCTTGTACATGTTAAGCAAGAACTCTATCACTGAGCTATACCTCTGGCCCTTTGCTTTTTTTCTTTTTTTGGGGGGTGGGGGAAACTTGAGTTTTTCTATCCAGAAACATATTGCTTCATTTACCTAGTTTTTCTTTTTAGTTATACATGGACACAATACCTTTATTTATTATTTAAAATGTGGTGCTGAGGATCAAACCCATAGCCTCACACATGCTAGGCAAGCGCTCTACCACTAAGCCCCAGCCCCAGCCCCTAGTTTCTTTCTTTTTTTTTATCATAGTTTTTAAAAAAAGGTGTTGTTGTATTAAAATAGGCTTTGAGAATTGGCTATTCTTAGATATTTTGTATTTTTTGGTAACATTAGAAAGAGTTTTTTTATTGTAATTACTTTTTGTTGTTGCTGGTGATTCAACCCAAGGCCTCACACATGCTAAGCATGCATTCTACCACTGAATTATACTTCCAACTCCATATCTGATTGTTGATAATGTAGAGGAAAGCTATCAATTTTGGTGTGTTGATATTGTATCCAATAGCTATAGCATTTAAGTTTCCATTTATAAAATTAAACTTAATTCCTTTCAGGGAAAGTAATTATTTTGCTTAATATTAAGTGTAAGGACTCATCAAAAACTTAAATCCAAAATGCAGCATGGTGGTACATGCCTATAATTAACAGGGGTGCTGAGGCAAGAGGATCACGAGTTCAAGGCCAGCCTGAGCAATTCAGCGAGACCCTCAGCAACTTAGAAAGACCCTGTTTCAAAATAAAAAGAGCTGACTTTACCTATCAAGTGCTTGAGTAGTATACATCCTCCAATTTACTCCCTTTCTCTAATCTCCTAATTTTCATAAATTGCTTACAACAGGTCCAGTTTTCTGATTGAGAAATTTATTTTTAGGTGCTTATTTCTTTTTTTTTTTTAAATATTTTTTAGTTGTGGTTGACACAATACCTTTATTTACTTATTTATTTTTTATATGGTGCTGAGGATCGAACAACAGCATTCTATCACTGAGCTACAACCACAGCCCCATTAGGTGCTTATTTCTATAGCTCAATTACATTGATTTTTATTTGCATTCAGTTGCTTTTCCATTTTTAAATTATTTTAATTGATGACTTTTGTTCATTATATTTTTACAGTATGGCAAGTGGTATTATTTGTAGTGTCAATATGAAATTTAAAAAAAATTAATTTAAATTGAAAGTCAAAAAAAATTAAAAGGGCTGGCAGGCAAGTTGGCACAGGCCTGTAATCTTAGCAACGTGGGAGCCTGAGGTAGGAGGATTGCAAGAGAGCAGCCTAAATGATTTAGTAAGGCCCCAAGCAACTTAGAAGACCCTGTCTCAAAATAATAAGTTTAAGAAAAGGTTTGGGGATGTGGCTCAATCCCAGGTACCAATAAATAAATAAATAAATAAATAGGGCTAAGGCTATACAGTTCAGTGGCAAAAACAACCTGAGTTCAATCAATAATACCAAAACAAAATAAACAAAAAACTTAAATCCTTAATTTATTATAGCATTTAAAATGTTCCTATAACTTGGCATGTCAATATCTAGTGGAGAGGATCTTTATCTCATATTCAAAATAGAATGTAATCAATGACAATCTAGTCTCACTTCCCATTTATTTAGTGGTATGTGCTGGGGACTGGAGCCAGAGACTCATGAATGCAAAGCACACATCCTACAATTCATGATCACTTCACCCTTCTCTTCTGAATCTCCACCTTTTTCTAAGTATTAAGTCTAGCTCATAAATTTTTCAAGGTCACCTACTGGATTTCCTTCCACTCATTAGGCTGTGGATTATTTGAGCATTGGGATTGTATCTTTCCTTTCCAGTATAATCCTGGATAAATAATTAGTAAGCAAATAATGAGAAATGATTGCTTCTTCCTCTGTACTCCACATTATACTGTCTATTAGCACTTATTTTTGCTATAAAATATGATTTTATTATAGCACAATGTTTATTTGTCTAGCTTCCTCTTCTGACTAAATTCCAGAGAGCAGAAAACGAGTCAGATTTCTCTCTTAACCTTCTCAGCACCTAATACAGAACAGACATTTAATGACTGAGTCAAGTATAAAAGGGCTCAATTTTTATTGATGTATTTACTTATTGTGGAGATGGGGATTGAACCCAGGGCCTGACAAACACTATGCAAACACACTACCACTGAACTACCCACCTCCCCAGCCCTTAGAATTTTATTTATTTATTCATTCATTCATTCATTTTGGGGCTTGAATACAGTGGTGTTTTACCACCGAGTGTATCCCCAGTTCTTATTTTTTTGGTATTGGGGGTTGAACTCAGATGTGCTTTACCACTGAGTTACATTCCCAGACCTTTTTATTTTGTTTTGCTTAAAAAAATTTTTTTGAAACAGTATCTTGCTAAGTTGTTGAGGATCTCACTACTTTGCCGAGGCTGGCCATAACCTTGTGATCCTCCTGCCCCAGCCTCCGGAGTCGCTCAGAGGCATGTGCCACAACACCCAGCTCTCAACGTATTTTAATGATGCCAAGCTGTTCTTACTAATTTCGGGAAAATAGGGGCACTTGAAAAGCCTCATCTTTATGGGAGATTTATCCCATAAAGATTTAACCCGCTGGCACCATCTAGTACTGAATGAAGGTGGTGCACTTTCACTGACACTACAGAAGGGGCTCTCAAGTACTGTCCTTCATGCTCACCTGGCTGTTAAGGCTGAGCACCTCACCGTTCTGACGGTCTCAAATTGCATAAACCTCCAATTCTTGAAGTTCCAAATGTCATCAACTTGAAGAAATCGAAACTTCATCAGGACAATAGGTTCAGAGTTCAAACCACCTGGGGGTGGAGCTAGCTAGAGAAAAGTACAGTTAACCTGCGGTTTATTGCTGTGCACGAACGCGGCCTAAAGCAGTCCAGACGGAGCACTGGGGCAGCCGGGGCAGCCAGGGCACCCGACACGCCCCGCGGGAAACTGTCAAACGCCTAAGCCCCGAAAAGCGGAGGGCGCTGAGCTCGCCTCCTGCGGCTGGGCGGGAGCAGCGCGTGTCGCACCCCCACCAGCCCGGCCAGGCCGACGATCCGACCACCGCCGACCCCAGCTCCCCGCGGGCACTTGAAGCTCCGGCGTTTAGGTCCCGCGGGCCGGGATGATCAGGCCCCGGGTGCCCCAGAGGCGGCCACGAACCCGCCGCCCCCGAAACTCTCCTCGACCCTCCCCAATCAGAAGCGGACAATCTCCTCAGCACCCCTTCCCCCACCCCGGTGCCCTTTCGGCCTCCCGCGAACGTACAGATCCGGGAGTTTGGAACCAGGGGCCCCGCCTACCTGAGGGCCCGGCCGGGCGGACCGCACGGGAAGAGCACTTCCGCCAGACGCACGCACTTCCGGCTTCCTGGAACCAATGAGAGTGCGGCCGCGGTGTCCTCCTGTGTGGCGTCCGGGCAGCGATCCTCTCCGGGAAGACTGGGTCCGTTATGGCCGTGAGAGCGTGGTAAGCCCCCGACCCTCAGCCCCTGGGCTCCGCGGGAGAGGCAGCCCGGGACTCCTTCTTGTCCGGGCAGTGGGGAATGCAATCATGTTCACACCTTGACCATTATCTTCTTCTGTGGAACCCAAACTTGGTAAATTTGCCTCTGACCTTCACCTTGGGGCGGAAATCTCCCCTTCCAGAAGCGAGGCGAGGGCAGGCACCTGGGCTTGGCGGGGGCGGAGGAGGCGGCCCTCCACCGTGGAGATTGCCCTTCCTTCCAGTCTGTGAAAAAGCCGGGTCCACTTTCCTGAAGGCAATTTGAGACGCAGGGCTCTAGCTGTTGGGCAGCACTTTAAAATTACCCAGAAATGGGTGTCCAGGGGAATTCCCAGAGTGGGGGAACCCTGGACTCAGGACACGGGTCCTGGACGTTCCTGGAGGAAGAGCTTCAGCGCTGTCAGTAAAGACAGAGGTTGATTTAGGAAAGCAAGGAGTACAAACTCAAGGAAGAATGCGGGCCATCTGGAAAGTGGGACTTGTTTGGAAGTTCCCAACTCTTGAAGGAAACTTGGTGAGGCATGGGTATGGGAAGGTGTGTAAAGATGACATCAGTCCCAGGATCTCAAGATGGTTTATGACACTCTGGTCATTCTCAGGATGCTCTGGCTTAGGTGGTCTCTCCATTATCTTAACTGATAGATAAGGGTTGGAATATCCCCTAAATTATAGATTTCTTAAAATGTTCTTAACCTGAAAATTTCTCTTAATATATTTATTGGTGGGCTAATTAGCAGTGCACACGATTATTTTCATAAGTGGGTGAACTAGCAGTAATCTTTTTTTTTTTTTTTTAAAAGAGAGGGGAGAGAGAGAGAGGTAATTTTAATATTTATTTTTTAGTTATCGGCGGATACAACATCTTTGTTTTGTATGTGGTGCTGAGGATCGAACCCGGGCCGCACGCACGCCAGGCGAGCGCGCTACCACTTGAGCCACATCCCCAGCCCCTACCAGTAATCTTAAGATTTACAGATTTCCCCGAAATTTGGGAGTAACAGACCTGGGAGAGAGACTGTCTTGGGGAATGACAGACCTGGAAAAGTATGCAGTATTTCCGAATTAAAATTTTATTTCCATGTCCTTCATGTCTCCTTCCTACCTTTTTTTTCTTTTTCTCTCTTACTTCTATCATACTGTAATCCATAGGGCATTACAGCAAAACTGTCTCCAGGGTACAGTTATTAAATTTTGTATGTCAGCCTCTAAGGGCAAACTTCCAACTTTGAATATCATAGAACTCTACGAAATGAAATGTTTCTGTAGGATTTGTCTAATCATAGAGTTCCTTATTACAATCAATTTTTCCTCAGTTACAATTTGGATATGAAACCATTTTTCTAGACCATATTTTAGCCTACCTTGCAAAACACTTCAGATTCAAAGGAAACACCTGTTAAGTTAAAGCGATTATCCTTAATTTTTGGTATGTTAATGTATGCGAAGATGTCAACATTTTGGGTAAAATTCAACTCTCAGTGACAAATAGTGCCAAACAAAACAAAACTGGAAAATATGCTTCCTTGTTTTACACATTTGAAAAATTTGCTGAATAAACCTTTGCTCACAGTGCACTTCTCTTAATTTTATTTACTTGTTTATTTGTTATTTATTTCTTGAAGTACTAGGATTTGAGCCCAGGGGTTCTTTACCACTGAGCTACATCCCCAGCCCTTGTTATTTTAAGATAGGATCACTAAGTTGCTAAGGCTGCCCTTGAACTTTGTGATCCTCCTGCCTCAGCCTCCAGAGAGGCAGAGATTACAAAACTGCACCACAGTGCCTGGCTACTTCCCTTAATTTTAATAATGATGGTAAAGTATTCTATTCAGGTATTCATGCTAGTTTGAGTGTGTGCAATCTTGGAAGGTATGCAGGAAAGGTCTTACTATGTAGGCATTGTAATTGCTTTCTCAGTGACTTAATCTGATTTAGCATTTCTGTGCTGAGGGTGTTCTTACATGCCTTGGGTTCTTGTTTAGAGTTAATGAATAATGAAAACATTCCTAGTGCATGAGTAATAAATTGGTTTGGGTTCTGGTTAGAGAAAGAGGAATATTAGGTAGATAGTCACAGTAGACAGAACTGAGCAAAGTATCCTCATCTGAGAATCATAACTGGGAAATCAGATAGATGTTAGGTGGAAGCTGAAGAAGTTTAGGACACTTCATCTTGGACTTGGGATGGGATCCCAGAGAACAAGTAGGGAAAATGCTAGAGCAAATGATATTCTAGCGAGTAACAAGAGGTACCATGAATCAAGGGCCTCCAGACACCTGGTCCTCATTTAAATATCTACCAGCAGATAGTTTATGCCATTGTAAGTTTTTCATAATAGATAAGAACATGAATTTTTAGAATGAAGCATGTTACTCTAGCTGTGAGATATCCTGAGAAAGTTAATTGCCTGACTGGGCTTAAGTTTCCTCATCTTTTTTTTTTTTTTTTTTTTAAAGGCAAGAGTATGGGGTGATAATAATAGTATTGCCCCACTGGTTTGTCCTAAGAATTGTGTGAGAGTGCAGTGTGTGGCTTGGCTCATAAGAAGAACCCAGTGAATATTGCTTTTGTTGTTATTACCGTCATCATCATCATCATCATTGTGAAATAAATAAATTGGATTTATATATACAAGGAACATGCCCATCCAAAGAGACCAAGTAGATGATTCCTATCAAAAGCACAGAAGACAAAATGAGGATTCCATCAACAGGACCCAGATGCTTTCTTCTCTGTTGTGAATTTCCCATCCCCAACTCATCTTAGCGAACCACTGATATGCCTCTCTCATAGGTTAAATTATCTAACACTTCATACAACTAGAAAACTACAGTGTGTACTTTTTGGAGTTCTGGTGCTTTTCACTGAAAATGTGAAATTTGTCCATGTTATTTGTATCCAGTTAAAAATGTTTTATAACTTATTCCTATAAGTAGATAGATAGCATTTTCTTACTCATTCATTCATCTCTTGATTGACATTTGAGTTTTTGAATGGTTTCCCAGTTTGTTGTTATTATGTATAGTGACACAGTTCTCATGGGATTCTAGTTAGTTCTCACAGAGGTATTATTGAAGAGTAAAACTGGCCTATCTGCACTTTGGCTTCCTGTCACTGTCTGGTCTCTGTCCCTCACATGAGCTGCTGCTGTGATACCAACTGCCAAAAAGCCCTCACCAGAGGATGAATTTTGGACTATCAACCTCCAAAACTGTGAGCCTCTTGTCCTTACATATTACCCAGCCTCAGGTATTTTGTAATAGCATTGGAAAACAGACCACTTCAATACTTCAGATTCAACCTCTATAAAACAGTAGTCATTATCTTTTTTTTTTTTTCCCTTTTGTACCTGGGATTGGACCCAAGGGCACCTAACCACTGAGTTACATCTTCAGCCCTTTTTGTTTTGAAACAGGGTCTTGCTAAGTTACTGAGGCTGACCTCAGCCTCTTGTTAGACCAGGACACAAAGAAAAGACCACTGACTCCAATTAAAATCAAATTAAAGCAAGCTTATTATTTCGACCAGCCGGGCTGCCTCTCCCAACAATAATTGCAGGAACAGGACAGCACTGCAGCTTTCTTGCAGCCCATCTTTATAGCCCAGAAAGTTACACAAAAGGGAGGCATTTTACAGATAACAAAACTCTGAGGAGCATAACACAAAGGCTAGTTTACAGTTTTGCTGGCCCCGACATCAGAATTTATGAAGGTCATTAGAGCCTCAGAGAGGGTCGTTATCCGGCCAGGGAAGGCCAAGATTTATGAGGCATCACTAAAGTTTCAGAGAGAGCTGCTATCTGGTCAGAGAGCCAGGCATGGGTGAGTTCAAGGCACGGGCAGGCATTCCAAGCTAGTTAAGAATTTATAGTAATTTACAGTAAAGCCGAAATTAGCTTTTCATGGCTTTATGGCAAGATGGTTCCCAATTTTAAGAGGGAATGAGGCTGGGATTACAGGCATGTACCACCAAGCCTGGCTACTACAGTAGTTACTATCTTTATCCCTTCTAACCTGTGTTCCCTCTCGTCCTCTTTGTCTAGAGGCATGCAACTGATCAGTCACTCAAGTAAGAAATATTATTCTGGGCTGGGGATGTGGCTCAAGCGGTAGCGCGCTAGCCTGGCATGCATGCGGCCCGGGTTCGATCCTCAGCACCACATACAAACAAAGATGTTGTGTCCGCCGAAAAAATAAATAAATAAATTCTCTCTCTCTCTCTCTCTCTCTCTCTCTCTTTAAAAAAAAAGAAATATTATTCTTTTCCTATTTCTTCCTTCCTTCAGTCAATTAGCTGGACTGGTTGCAAACTCTTGACACCATCCTGTTTTTACCTTTCATTGTCTCTAATCTAGACCATACAACTACAATACTACAGTGTGTACTTTTTGGTGTTCTGGTGCTTAGCTATATTCTAGTTTCTGAGCACCTTCCACATCCCAGGCTTAATGCTAAAAATTAGGAACTAAAAACCTAAATAATACACATTAAAAATGAAATTTCCTTGAAATAATTATTTAATCATCAACAGAAAGAATTTATAAACAAAACAGCTTTGTTTTTAAAATTGTTCCAGAGCAGTGTTTTAAAACTTAACTATCTATACAATTAGTTGAGGATTTTTTTTTTTTTTTTTTTGAAACCAGGGATTGAACCCAAGGACACTTAACAACTAAGCCACATCCTCAGCCATATATATATAAAAATTTAGAAACAGGGTCTTGCTCTAAGTTGCCAGGACTGGTTTTGAACTAAAGATCGTCCGGCCTTAGCCTCCCAAGGCACTGGGATTACAGGCATGCGCCACCATGCCTGGCTCAGGTGGGGATCTTAAGTAAATAAATTAAATAAATGGGTTTAGTAAATGTAAAGAAGAGCCCAAAATTCAGCCTTTTTTCTTACCTTCAGGTGTGTGTGTGTGTGTGTGTGTGTGTGCGCACACATTAAGGATTGAACCCAGGGCCCTAAGCAAGCTAGGCAAGCTCTCTACAACTGAGCTTTACCCCCAGCCTGCGTCTTCATCATTTCCTTCTTTCCTTTTTTTTTTTTTGGTGTTGAGGATTGAACCCAGGGCCTGTGCACACTAGGCCAGCAC